GCATAGTCAAAGCTATGGTTTTTCCAGTAGCGATGTATGGAAGTGAGAGCTGGACCATAAAGAAGGCTGACCGCTGAAGAATTGATGCTTTTGAATTGTGGTGTTGGAGGAGACTCTTGAGAGTCCCTTTTGAAGGAAATCAACCCTGAGTGCTCACTGGAAGGACAGATCCTGAAGCTGAGGCTCCAATATTTTAGCCATCTCATGAGAAGAGAAGACTCCCTGGAAAAGACCCTGATGTTGGGAAAGTGTGAAGGCAAGAGGAGAAAGGGACGACAGAGGACTAGATGGTTGGACAGTGTCATCAAAGGTACCAACATGAATTTGACGAAACTCTGGGAGGCAGTGGAAGACAGGAGGGCCTGGCGTGCTCTGGTTCATGGGGTCACAAAGAGTCGGACATGACTTAATGACTGAACAACAACAACAAATGCTTAAAAACTGCCATTCTTAAGGTTTTACAAGCAATCCACAAGAACTAAGGTAGCCCAGCTGATTAATGGGGAACCAGGGATGGGTTTGCCCATCACCTTCCAATATATTCAATGTAGAGTAATGGAAAAAATATGGGCCAATGGAATGTATGAGTTTATACTAAATATTTTTAAAGGATGTTGAGCATACGAACATGAGAAGATCTATGCTAAATCCAACTAAATGCCTACGTGGTCTAGAATTCTATCCTCACAGTAGCCACATGCAGACACATGGGATGCTCACAGCAGGATGTAAGTGCAACAACACCCTTCCATGTCTGTTCCTCAGAAAATGGTATATAGCCTCTGGTGTTGAAGGTAACATCTAGGCACCATAACCATTCTAGACATTCACCATGCCTCCAATTGAATGCATGTATATTTTCACTTCTGTCTGCCAAAGGCTGTCTTGCATCTTTTAATCTAACTGCATAGCTTTTTTAAAATTATTATTTCCCCATGATTTTAAAGTATTTGTTGAAACATGCTGTAAGTTGTAAAGAGAACTGGAGTAGCACATACTAGAATGGATGTGTACTTTGCAGGGGAGGCTTAGGCTCCTGTAGAAAAAGTTCCTCGTATATATTTAAATAAATAGCAAATCTTCAAATTTATATTGGGATAGGTGGACTCCTGTGAACACTCAAGTATGAGAAAAACAATTAATTGTGCCCTCTGGTAAAATGTATGGTTGAGGATATTAAAAAAAATACAATCTAGTTCCTGTTTCCACCAGAGCTATGACAGGAACAGGGCAATTAATCTACAAAATGGTGGATGGGGGCAATTGTACATGTTATATACCTGCTACACTAGGCTAGTTCACAAAATAGAATGTTTTTATTATTTAGCAGCTCTTGTGAGGTCAAACACAGTTTATTTAACCCATTCTGCGTTTTGGGAGGTTTTTTGAAAACGAATTCTTGTCAAGGCTGTACAGAAAAGCGGCTGATTCTTCATTTTGCAAATGGAAGGGATTTTCTCCAGCTTAAATAGGTAGCAAGTCCTCTTCTTGTGAGGGGCCCAGAACCAAAGTTTATCCTCAGTACCAGAGCTTGGTCTCTATGGCTACACGAAAATGATTTAGCAAAATTTAGCAAATGGGCCAGTTTTCGAAGAGCTTGAATTGTCCATTTTGGCAATCTATTAAAGTACTAGTTGAAGCCGTGGCACTAGTGGGTCATCTAGGATTTGTTGCATTGGATTCAACACGTAAAAGCCATGCTAAGGTTTTTCTCTATTTATTGTTCGGAGGGATATGGGGAAATTGCCTTTGTTAATAGGAAAACATTTACAAGGAAGCAATTGCATGTAAAAGGAAACTGTTACTCACAGGGAAACAATATTCTTTTGTTTTAGGCAACTGGGGCCTAAATTAAGTTTGACATAAAGAGGCCAGATTTGCAGAGAAAAGACACAGCCTCTACGTTCTGTTCTATAAGTACAAGTCAGGAAGGGCATTTTTGCTCTGGTGGAGCCCAAAGAAGTTTACACCAGTAATAACCAAAGGGAAGAGTTATCCTTAAGAAAGAACGAGCTTCCAAATTAAAGCAAAGGTGGACACTTCGATAAAGCATCCCTTTTCTCTTTGCATCTGGATATCTTTCAGCAAAGACCAGCTGATGTGATGATATATTCTTTTAAACTCTATTGTGCACCAGAAATCTACCTATCACAAACAACAACCTATTCTGCAGCTCATGAGCCTCAGATGCATGCCAACCAAGTAAAAAGAAAAAGTATAAATCGGCATCAAAATAACAGAACATCAACCAGCGTTTAAATAGTTAAAATATTCAGAATACCACTACAAATATAACATGACCGGATTCTTCAAATTCTCTAGAACAAGATATTAATCCTCTTGAATTATTCCCCAAATGGACTAGCTATCACTCTCCTAATTCCTCTGTCACCCCAGCTCTCCAAATTTCATGTCATCAAAAAGGGACTTTTTTGCCACGTCTGTCGACATTGCAAAACCATTCAATGTTAGGGCTGCCATGTTGAATTGCAAGTCGGACATGATTCAACACTTCCCTCTCTCCTGTGTAGGGTGACAAAAATAAAGAACATAAAAATATCCTAAACCCAAACTGCCAATACCCATCATAAAAGTAGTTTCAGAATCACAAGAAAACCCTGATCGATGAGTGGGCACAGGAAATAGATATTAAATCAACCATCAAGTTTGTTCATCTGTTTTTTAAAACAGAAAATGCACATTTTCGCATCACGAAAAGCGGGTAGATTGGAGCAGAGAAAAGAGGTTGCCGCAGGAGCAAGTGCCAGAGCATTTGGACAATAAAATGGCATTTTCAAACATTTTAAAAAAGAGCTACATTGGATTTCGTACCAGAAAGAGATGTGCCGTGAAGGAGAAGGGTTTGGATGTTCAGCCGCTGGCTTTAGTTCCGTTTATCTGGACAATCATCAGAAATGGTTCCCTTTTTTCGAGAAAGGCCAGTTTGAGTGAGACAGCTCCCCCCCCCCGCGTTCCCTTTTCCTTCTCATAGCAGCTCAGCGCCAAGAAATGGGCGGTGTCTGCATGCCAGGCTTCGTCCGAATGAGACGCCAAGGCCGACAAGGGCTGGCACAAAGGGAAGCTGGCAAGAATTCCAGCAGTTGGAACCATTGCTTTGCATGCCCTGGGGATGGTTTCCTTTTTAAAAACATTGTCTCTTTAAAAAAATCTTTTTAAAAGCCACACTCCATCAACTCTTCAGGAGATAGTGTGCAAAAAGTTTTTCAGTCTTTTGTGCAAACAACCCTCCAAAGAACCGAATGACCACAGCACTCCTTGCTTTGCATCCAGAAGGTTAAAACAAATGGCTGATTTCCCCCTGTCTTTTCACACATTCAGCCCAGAATCTGCACATAAAATATAAATCTTGGCTCCTACTTTTCCTGAACTTGAGATGTTCGAGACAGCAGAGTACTTTAACACAGCCAGAGATAGAAGGTGAAAAAAAACACAACCACCCAGCGAAAAACATCTTAGTTATGCAAGAAGCATTTTGCTTTCGCGAATGCTTCATTTGCAGCCTGAAAAATGGAGCAAAGACATAGAAACAGAGGCAGGTGAGAACTGTTTTTAAAAAGCAGTAACACCAAGATATACCACAGAAGAACAGAAACCCCCCTCCAGACACAATTTCCTTTTTGTCTGTGCCAGGTTTGGAGAGAAACAGAGAAAGAAAGGGGTAGAGCGAATAGCTGCCTCGTTCGGAAATGGGCCTACAGCCACTTCCCACTTAGGAAGCCTCAGCAATCATTCTTTCGCTCGCTCTCGTTGCGTTCTCCCTGCCCACTCTGGCTTGGCTGCCAAGTCAGAGTTGGCACAGCTTCCCAGGCAGCGCGGAACAAAGCCGTCTCCCATCCCTGAACAGGCAACTGACAGAAAGCAAAGTGACAGGCGCATCTTCTGCATGTTAATCCTAACGGATTGGAGATACTGACAAGGAAATTCAACCTTCTCCAACCCCCCTTCCATTAAATTAAAATAAATTTAATTTTTTTAAAAAAACTGAAAAGCTCCATCAACCTTGTTTTAAAGGATCCTTTAAAAATACAGCTGGCTGCAATAAGGATGGGGGGGGGAAGAGAAGAGGATTTACCCACCAGCACCCAGGCAAAAACGCTGCTTTGCATCTGTTGTACCTGTTCCCGTTGCGTTCCTTGCTCTTGGAATCATGACAAGAGAGAAAAGTCGCCTCTGGTGGGTTGCTCAAAGCTGCGGGTCTGCAGCCCTATGCAGGAAGTTGGCACCGATCCCAGGTAGGACTTTACTCCCACATTTCTACCCTCCACCTCCTCCTCTCGCTCCTTCCCCTCCCTTTCTTCTTCTCCACCCACCCACCATCTCCCTTGATAAATCTCCCCCTGCTTCCCGCCCCAAGCCTGTTCTTAACTTACCTCTTTCCACTGCACCACTCTCTCTCTCTCTCCCTCTCTCTCCCTCTCTCTCTCTGTGTATGTGGGTACATTATGGATCCATCAGACGCATGGAACACCCTCTAGAATTAAAGCAAAGAAACACAAACACCCTGTAAGGGTGACCCAGGGAAGCAAAGAAGGCAACAGCTTCCTGCCTGCACTGGCTCCCCTCAATGCCTGTTTCAACACATGGGTTGGGTAGTGCTTGGGTTAATTTTTTTTTCTTCATGCTGCCAAGGAGACTGGACAGAACACAAGGGAGCGAGAGGGGGGAA